TTTGAATATTACATGTTAATAACTTGATTGGAATTATAACCTTGAGTTGACAGTTTGATACTTTGAAAATTTTGAGCCAGCCCTACCCCCAAGGGCTGTAGGGTGGGGCTCAAGGGAGTCAGTGTGCTAAAATTTCTTCATTTTCCTTGTTTAGAATCAGAGGTGCTAGTTTCAAATCCTTTTTAGTCTGAAATCTGTATGCTTGATATTGAATAAGGTGGTTTTATTGTTTTTTGTCACTTTGAATAATATTTCTGTTCATGTTAAAAACGAAATCAACTCTCTGTATAAATATATCAGGTGACCGTTAAGGCCCATGGGCCTCTTGTTTCTCTAAACGACCTTTCGTCAAGTCTTGCCGTTCATATCTTTACACCAATTTCTTATTAGTAATAAGAGCCCCTGTATAGAAACAGGTGCTCTATAGTAACCAGTGTTTGTCTGCCAGGAGCACTTTCGCTTCTAGAGATCATCTTTGAATCTAGTTTGGTTGAAAATGGTAATTGGATGATATCCTACAAGGATTTGGAAATCAAAGTTAACCACTGGTCAAGTTTCAAGGTCAGTGTTATTAAAAATATAACCAAAATAATTCTGTAAACTGTACATTGTATGGCCTTTCCTAACTTGTTGTATGGATAGTCTCTGGTGGAAAAGGCCTTATTATCAGAATCCCCTAATCCAAAATGGCCACCGATGTTTCTCATTGGCAGAGATATTTTAGTTTATATCTGATTGTGTTTATGCTTGATGTTATGGTATTTGTAGGATAACATATATAAGGGACATGTAATGCCTTATTACCCATAATCTGAAACACGTAATGATAACTGTGGCTAATTCTGCTTAGTGATTATGGGGGATAATATTACCGCCAGGCACTTGGTTAGGCCCTTGATGATTTGGTGGCTTATGATTCTGAATACTCTGAGCAATTTGAAATATGATATTACTTGTTTGAACGGGCTTGTGAACAGAGGAAGAACTTTGATATAATATTTGAATTGAATATTCGTGCTTAAATTTCAGGTATTAAAACAAAAATTAATTATTATTTTTTTGTCTCACCGCCACAAAGTCGGGGCAAGATTTAGGTGTTGCTTTTCTGGCAACGGCGGCGTCAACATTAAGTTTTTTTGCATTTAAGTCAGTTTCTCTGAAAGTATAAGTGCTACACCAACCAAACTTGGACCATAGATGCATCTTAGATAGTACTTCTCAGCCCATGTTAAATCAAAGTTAACCACTGGTCAAGGTCAAGGTCAGTGTTACTAAAAATAGAACCAAAACAATTCTGTAAACTGTACACTGTATGGCCTTTTCTAACAAAGTCCTTTGACTTTGTCATCATTTTCCTCAACATTAAGTTTTTGTATATAACTTAGTTTCTCGGATATATGCATTGATGGTCAAAGCGGGGCATAGGCAAGACATATCAATCCAAATGGCTTGTGTATTCATATGATTCATATTTTTTATGCATTTGTTGAAAAGTCGGTCCAAAGTTATACTAAGTTACTGAGTTTGTCATATTTCAGATCTGCAAGACTGCGAAATGTAGACCGGAGTAGTGCACGGGATATATCTGTCACAGTGGGAACGGTTACGGTAACAATTACAGACTATCAGCCCAAACGTGAACGAAAAACATCTACAGAAACTTCCAGCAATGTGACATTGGATAGCTTTGACAATTCCTCTTCATCGTCAGGTGTGAGTAACGACCCACGGGAGGATGTGACAATGAACACAAACAACCACCATACCTGACATGTGGTGTTAGTGACGTCACTTCATTTCTCATTCTACACAGTGGTCAAGATGGACCACCCAAATTAGTGTGCCATGTGGACAGGCAATTCTACATGTGTGTTATTGACCTATTATTGCAAATCATTCAGTCTCAAAGCTGTGGAAATTCGTGGATAAAGAAGCAATTCCTTTTAAAATTTGATTTTCAAAAGGGAAAACATTATTGACCTAATGTTAAACTTCTTTAATGTGAATGGCATGTGGATAGTGAATTATGTGTGTTTGTGGGCGGTAATGGAAAATTTGTCAAGCTCATATATAGTGATATATATATATATATGTGTATACATTCATTATGGTATTTTCATTCTATTGAATCTTCAAAATGAGGTTCATTTTGTTTTTACTGTCAACATTCGGGTAATTTCCAGAGTTAAGCTTTTACTTTCAACATTCGGGTAATTTCTAGAGTTTTCCTTATCACTGTGTAACTAAATGACACAAGTTTGATTTAAAATGGCGGAATAACATATCAAAGCTTTTTTAGCCCACCATCATCTGATGATGGGGTATACAAATCGCCCTGCGTCCGTGGTCTGTCCGTGGTCCGTCCGTGGTCCGTCCTTAAACATTTCTTGTTATCGCTATTTCTCAAATTTTATATGTATGTTCCCCTTGTTACTTAGTTGTGCAGGGAAACTTTTGAGACTGATCAGATAAACAACATGGCCGAGAGGCAGCCATCTTGGCTATTGTTACTGAAGGTTTGTTATCGCTATTTCTCAGGAGGTACGACAGGGATCTTTCTCAACTTTGATATGTATGTTCCCCTTGTTACTTAGTTGTGCAGGGCAACTTTTGCAACTGATAAGATAAACAACATGGCCGACGGGCAGCCATCTTTGATTTTGACATTAAAGGTTTGTCATCACTATTTCTTAGAAAGTACTGGAAGGATCTTTTCCAAAATTGTTATGTAGGCTCCCCTATGTCTGTAGTTGTGCTTGCTTAATTTTGAGACTGATCAGATAAGCAAAATGTCCGACAGGTGGCCATCTTGGATTTTGAAAGTGAATGTTTGTTATCGCTGTGTCTCAATAAGTAGTGGAGGGATCTTTCTCAAATCTTATATGTAGGTTACCCTTGGTCCTTAGTTGTGCATATTAACTTTTGAGACTGATCAGATAAACAAAATGGCAGACAGGCTTCGATTTTTGACATCAAAGGTTTGTTAGTACTATTTCTCAGGAATAATTCGAGGGATCTTTCTCAAATTTGATATGTAGGTTCCCCTTGATGCCTCGTTGTGCATGATATATTTTGAGACTGATCATAAAAACGAAATGGCTAAAGGAAGAACTCAAAAGATCTTTCTCTTATTGCAATGATTGATTCTATTTCTTTCACATTAAGTACTGTACTAGTAAATATGTGAAATGACAAACTCACTTTCAAGGTTGTCTTTTATACACAGCAGTATTAGGTTTAGATCAAAAGTTACCTCAAGGTGCATTTACTGTTAACATGACTCGATCAAACCCAGATTAGAGAAAAGAAGAGAAAAGATCGAACTGACAAAGAACTTAGGAAGATGATACAATGGTGGGCGCCAAGATCCCTCTGGGATCTCTTGTTTAACTTGTTATGATGTAGCGGTAGGACATCCACTGTCAGTAAATTTTGTCAGTACGTTGTGATTACAAAGTCTTAAAGATAATAAATGATAATGTTTTAATCACATTATTGATACATTTATGATTACACTTATGAAGAACATAACTGTAAGAAACTAAAAATCGTTTTGTGGTTTAAGATTTCTTTCAGTGTATTTATTTCTGCTAACATGATCTCATTTGTGGGTAAAACATTTCTGCAGTTTTTTTGGGGGGAGCAAGTTTATCTTGGCAAGCAGTTATTTTAACATAGAGAACATCCAACAAAGATGATGAATTACAATTGATATTAATTCTAAAGTATAACCTGACAGCTTCAAGTAGGTTCTACTTCAGAGTGAACTTGTTAGAATGAATATAAATTACTACTGATCATCATGAGTTTGAGGTTTTGTTTCTCCGTTAGCACCAAAGTAAAATGAAATAATCTAAAAATAAACCATTGGGCAAAAATGACGAAGTCAGAGAAAATAACTGTTTTATTATTTAGGTTAAACACAAAACTTCATTTGGAGCAAGGTTTTCAGACTTTTAATTTCTCATTGTGAATAATTCCTGCATGGAATTCCTGCATGGAATTCAGCATACCCAACTAGCAATATGACACAGATTTATTCTGACAAAATTAGGATTTTACAATCCTTTGACAGTCAGCTCTAAAATAAAAATAAAAACACAGTTACAACATACTGCAAAAGTTGCAACGTTTAGATTTCATTTTTTTTTAGGTCCCCTGAGACAAAGTCTCAACTGACCTATTGCGATCGCCTTTTGTCAGGCGGCATCCGTCGTCCGTCGTGCGTCCGTAAACAATTACATTTTCGACTTCTTCTCCAAAACCCCTGAACCAATTTCAATGAAATTTTGCAGAAACCTTCCATGACCAAAGGTCAACAAAAAGAGTGGCCGGTTTGGTCCCCAGCCCCCAGGGGCCTGAGGGGGGGGGGCAAAATGGATCAAATTGACTAAAATTTCAAAAATCTTCTCCTCAAGACCCAGATATGGTAGAATCAAATACTCTTCATAGATGGAAGGGTATTAAGGTGCTTTACCAAAATTGTGAATTTCTTGACCCTGGGTTCTCACATTTCCCCCTGGGGAAGGGGTAAACTTTACTATAGTTTATAAAGGGAAATCACATTTTTGACCAATATTTGTTTAATTTCCATTGGAAGTAAAATTAATTTAGGTTAGCATTATCAGTATTGAGTAGCAGTTTGATGGTATGCACATATGAGCCCTGACTGAACCCCAGGGGCTGATGGGTGGGGCGAAAAAGGGTTGAATTGACTGATATTTCAAAAATCTTCTCAAGACAAGACCCAGATATGGTAAAATCAAACACTCTTCATAGATGGAAGGGTCTTAAGGTGCAAAATTTATTACTGTTTATAATGGCAAATGATACTTTGAATATTACATGTTAATAACTTGATTGGAATTATAACCCTGAGTTGACAGTTTGATACTATGAAAATTTTGAGCCAGCCCTACCCCCAAGGGCTGTAGGGTGGGGCCCAAAGGAGTCTGTGTACTAAAATTTCTTCATTTTCCTTGTTTAGAATCAGAGGTGCTAGTTTCAAATACTTTTTAGTCTTAAATCTGTATGCTAGATATTGATAAAGGTGGTTTTAATGTTTTTTGTCACTTTGAATAATATTTCTGTTTGTGTTAAAAACAAAACCAACTCTCTGTATACATATATCAGGTGACCGTTAAGGCCCATGGGCCTCTTGTTTCTTTAAAAGTGTGTTTCAGCACTTGGTTTTGCCAGTGTTCATCTAATTTATTTTCAAATTGTTTCACTGTGCTTGAATTCACAACAGTTGACCGTAGATTGTTCCATAAATCTACAGTTTACTGCGTAAACGAAAATTTTCTAATATTTAATCTTGAATGCGAATTGTAAATAAAAAAAATCACAATGGATCTCATGCTGTTCTGTGGGTTTAAGTAAAATGGGAGTAACAGATTTTTTGTAGAAGAACATTACATTTACGGTACTTTATTATCACTGTGATGTACTTTATAATTGTGTTTGTGCTTTTATGGTCCCAAGCATTTAAAGAATGAAAAAAAATGTGCTACTGTCACAATTTGAAAAAAAAAAGACATGAAAAATTATTGTTGCTCATTAATTACAAATTGTCTATTTTACTGACAGGTCATTATATAATGGGAGGAGCAGTATATGGAGTTCCTTGTTCTCATGTTAGAAATAGATAGGATCCTTAATTAGGTTACGGAGAAATGAAAATCAGCATGACACTCTTTATGCAAGTTGGAATTCATTATAAATTTTTGCTATCAAACAAAATTTGTTTGTCTTTTATGTGACCTCAGTAATTACTTGTGAAATTATTGCAACTGTACACTTAAAAGTAACAAAGTTTTGTTATACAAGATGTTTTATTTGCCTCCATAAATCCTGTGTGAACACCACACGTTATAATAAAACCTGTGTTTATACAATTTTGAAAGTAATTGTATTTTAAATGTTGTACATAGCTACTGAAAGTTTATCTATCTTTTAAATAACGTCATTTAACATATTATGATGGAGCTTAGTTTAAAAGCACAAAAACTTTGCCTTTCTCTGGATTTTTTTCTTTGATAATTTTATAGGTTTATAAATTTCCTGAAAGGGGTTAGAGCGTAAGGACTAGATACTGTCATGTCAATGGCTTACTGGTAACTTAACTTCTGTTATATCTCGAGCTCCTGTGGTTTGATAAATGGTTAAATAGCTTCCTAGTCTCAGTTGCTCGATGTTGGTTGATAGTCAACCAGTGGTTTGGTGAAAATTTTAAAATTCAAATATGAAAAAAATCAAGGACTGTTGATATCACATCACTGCTATAGACTGGTCGAGACAAAAAAGATTGATGAGTTTTGAGGATTGATTTCGATTTGAAAGCCCCTGTATTTAAGTGGCAACAATTTGAATTTTTCAGTAGCCACTAGTTTAAGTTAACTAACCTTTGAGTAACTGGGGCCAGGTTTCTGATCATCCTTTTCGAAAAAACAAACAAATCTGTCGTAAAATTTGCATTCAAAATTGATAAATTGACATGATATTATGACGATGATAAGAATCAAAGATCACAGCATTAACAATAATGAGGTTTTAGGAAATTCATGTTTGGTATAGTTTTATCATGGACTTTGTATTACAGCAAACGGGGGGAGGGGGACTTAAGTTAAATATAAAAAATATAAAGATGCTTTGTCACATTGAGAGACCAAACAATTGAGATAAACTTTAAACTCTTGTTATATTTAATATGACTCTGTGATTGTGATTGACTGTGTTTGTGGTTATGTTAACTGTCGATACTTCCACTAACTGCAGTAGAGAGAGAGGGGATCAGACCTCTGTTGTGTAAAACACATTCTTTTTATTATTTTAGCTTTAAGTTTCATGAATACACCATGAATTAAAATAAGCCATGTATTGATTGTTGAACTGACTCTAAATTTCTGATGGACTTTATATTTGATGAAGAAATTTAAAGTTTTTCTAGATTTAAGTGAATGTGAACATGTAATTATCTGTCTGACTGATGATGCTGGTCTGTGGAAATTAATGTCATTTGTTCCTGGTTTTATATCTAATATAGGGAAACACCTAGGACAAATTGATCAAAGGAAACTTTGAAACTTTCAGTAGACTCTGTTTGATAGTGACCTTACCCTTCGTTAAGGACAGGTATCGGTGACGGAACTCTAGGTGTGAAGCTGTCACCTCTCACCGTGACTCATCCCTCAATATAACAGGGAAGTGGACTACAATTTATGCAAATAAGAACCTTTGTTTATGTTGGGATGAAGTGTACTTGCATCATCATTGTACGATAAAAAAATACCTCGCTATACTCTAGGAGTGTCTTAGGAGGAAGCAATGTGTCTCCTTTCCTGCTGTGCAGCCTGGAAAGTGGTGTTCTACAGCTCCTGAACATCTGCGGGAATTGCAGGATATGAAATAGCTTGTTTCATCAATGCTTGAACATAAATTGCCATGTATTAAGCAACGTCCTTTGTCTGCAAAATTGACGTAACTAATTATACAACTATTAAGCTGTGTTTTTTTAAGCTACCAACGTGTATAGGACCCCAGTTCTATAAGGTATGTTTTTATACATATAACATGTTCGTATGATGTT